AAACTCACTAAATAGCTTAAGAAACACAACATAGTTCACTAAGATAAAAGTTTTAGAACCAGAAGTTATAGCTAAACTAGTTGCAAAAATAACTAAAGAAAATCAAAAGAAGAAACAAAACCTAGAAAACTCTTCTCGACAAAATAATTTTCGAAATTTTAGAAAATTTTTGAGAACAACAAAACCCCAAAAATCTGATAATTGTTTGTTACACAAGACTCGGAACTTGAATAAACCAATTAGGAAAGCAATACATAGAAGGAAATTCACATGTTAGATTAGAATAAACAAAATAGAACAACAAAGATATCACATGCCATATATAGATAGTAAACATAGTAATATATACGATAGTAAAACCAGACAACTTCTGGGGATTTACAAAATAATATACTAAGAAGTTAGGAAAAACTGAAGGGTAAATTGATATAAATAGATTAGATTAAAAAGATTCATAATAGAAAATATATGGAACTGAGAAAAAGTAACTAGATTAGTAGAAATAGTAACTGAAGAGTATGGTAAGAAGATAATAGCAGAAGGAAGCACAGCAGTAATAGGTCTAGAGGACCATATAGATAAAATGATTGCAGAAATATTAGAAATAGACAGTAGCATAGTAATAGTAGCTAGAGAATGGAGGAAAGTAATAGAGAGAGCAGCAATGACAGAAGGAATCAATAAGGTTAAAATTGTATTAGGACAAGAAGTTCAAATTACAGCAGTAGAAAAAGAGGAATGTATAATCTAAGAAAGTGAAAGCAAAATAGATATTAAAATGCCTGATCTACTTGACGTACTAAGAACCGATAATAGACCAACAGAGATAGGAATGTTTTTAGAAAAAAACTACTCATTAGCAAAAGAAATTTTAGAGGAAAACTATATCCAAATAGAAGACATCAAAGAAATTCAAGAAACAGTAACAATTCCAACAAACTCTAACCAATACTCTGACTCTACAGAAGAATTGGAAGAAGACCTTACTTCTGCAGAATCTGACTTCTCTCTAGAGAGAAGCATTTGGGCACCAAGCAAGAATAGATATGAAGGAAAGAAAAATATAAGCGCCAAAGTAGCAGTAGTTAAAGTCCTTGGAAATAATACAGTTCATAGAGAAAAATCATTAAGATGGTCAATTGGAAGAAATACATATCTTAAAAAAATATCAGAAAAATTTGAACAAGGCAATCTTTAGTGTACTCTTGTATTTGACTGCTTAAAAGGCTACGAAGAAGCAAAAAAAAAACTAGAAAGTAAAAAAGAAAAGTATAAGCAAGCCAAACTAATCCTAGAAGAAAGTATCAAAGAAGATAAGAGTACTCATATTTCAGCAAATAATAAATTCAAATTAATTACAATATCTTATTTTGTGACTTTTTTCTATTATACCAAATAGTGTAGCTTGTAAATGTATATTTTCTACACTAAATTGGCTTTATAGAAAATGATACTAACAAATGAATATACAAACTTTAGAAAATATTGCAAAAGTTTATCGATTTAATATTTCTCAGCTTGAATTAGAACCTAAACATACAGAAAACAAAGAATTAACAATAAATGATATATATTTATTAGTTAATTCTTTGTTTGATAATATTGAAAAAGAAGATAATAATTTACAAGATAATAAAATTGATCAATCTACTATTTTAGATTCTATTAATTCTACAACTGAAAATTTGGAATTAAAAATCAATATATTTGTTGATTTTAATTCACAAATTTTTGAATCATTTAATAGCACTAAAAATAATTTTATTGCAGATAAGAATTTTGAAATAATGATACAAAAAATTTTGATGATTATGATCCAGAAACTATTTTTTAAGATATAAGACTCGATGAGGTTAGTAAAATTTTAAAAAATTAAATATTTTCATTATATTTTTATTTAATTTATTAATTTGAATCTTTTTAAAATACAATTTTTCTGTTATAGCAATTACTTGAAACAAGTTATAGAATATAAATTTTGAAAAAACAATATGATTAAAAAATAATTTAGAAATAAAAAAATATATCTTGTAATTTACCTTTCTAAGTAATTGTTATTACAAGAAAATTGTATTTTAAAAAGAATTTCTATTTATATAGGAGTAATAGTATATATATGCAATTAAATAAATACTTAAATTTGTATAAATCTTTTATCAAGCTGTTTTAATATCTACTAAAGATAAAAAATAACTTGCTAGATAAATTCTATATATTTTTAATATTATAAATTGTTTTTGTATAAGCTGTTAGCAGATATAAATATAAAAATTTATGTATTAGCAATTGATAGATATAAGAAATTTAATAAAATTGTTCTTTAGAATTTTTTATTTAGTGAATTTAAAATACTATTTTAATATCTTTTTTTTATTTGAAGATTCTTATATATTTTGATAACAAAGTTCAATATTAAACTCTTTTTTATGATTAATTTTTTTTACTTTTGCATGATTTACTCATAACATTATAACCATATAATTTATGATCTTGCGACTTTATGTATATATATATAGCAAACTTTGTGAATTTGTGATATTTGATTTTGTAACCTTATGATCTTTGTTTTTTTTGTAGCAAAAAAGAAGTTGCAGGCATCGCAAATAATTTAATGAAAGATGCAAAGTTGCAACCCTGTAGCAAACAACAATACTTTAAACCAAATCTAGTTAAATTTAATAAACTCTATGTAAACTAAATACTAAACATTAAACTATTTATAAATTTTATTAATATTCAAATTAGAAATATAATATTATAACTCTTTATAAACTGAGCATTTTATATATAGTTCTAGAGAGTTTAGTTTAAATAGTTTGAATTATATTGTTAATAATTATATATCCTGTTTAAATCTTATTCAAATTATAATCTTTTTTTAATAGTTTTCATATTCATGATTAAAAGCACTATACTACTCTTATAATTTTAGATATTAAATTAGATCATTTTTCTGTAATCATATTTTCACTTGCTAAAAATGTATATTCTAAAGCTACTAAAAATATCAGAATCACTAAATAATCTCTAGCTATATAAGCAAGTTGAAGAAAATAAACTTGATTTGTCTAAATATTATATTATTAATAAATTATTTAATAGAATATAAACTATCTTATACTTGTTAAAAAAATTTCAAATAACTAAAAAACTGTAAAAAAAGTTTTCATCTAGCTAATATTTCTGATATTATGACTCTAAAGTTATAAAAATTATTATATGATATCAATTTTTTATATTCTATATGAATACTATAGAGTAAAAACCTATAACTAGATCTGTTAAGTTATTATTATAGTAAGTATTATTTTATATAATATATAATATAATATTCACTATAGTGATAACTTAATAGATCCAATTACAGGTTTTATTTTATAGTATTCATATAACTAGTTTGCAGAAAATACAAATTTTTTTTAATATTATTTAATCTATTAAATAGAATTTACTTATAATATCTAGTGGTTTAAGTTGAAACTTTTTTATTCAATAATATTATATTTTCACTTGTTTATCTTTGAATTGCTATATTAGAATTATATGTTTAATACTATGAGCTTTTCAGAATAAATTTACTAGTAGATTTGTAGATACAAATTTTGTATTATAATATATTATATTAACCTATATACATAGAAGTAAATAAAAAATATATTATAAGAGCTTCTAAATTTATTCTATTTCATAATATATATTTTATTTTACTTCTAAGTTAGTATATATACATAGATTAATATAATACATTATAATACAAAATTTGTATCTACAAATCTACTAGTAAATTTACTTTAAAAAAACCTTATATTTTAGATATATTATTTTCATTACAATTGTAATATAATTTTTATAGCTTATTTAAATATATCAATTAATAAATATTATTTCAAAGTCTAGTGAACTTAGTGTAATAGTTAGGTTGCTAAACTGCTATACAAGAGGTCTAGGATTCAAATCCTACTGTCAACAGAATTGAATAATTATCTAGATATCTATATCTAACTTATAGTAAACTCTGCTCATTTCTGGAATTGTAACTCTGTAAATCATATTGCACCAATGCTAATTAGGGTATTAGAAGTGTGATGAGGTATTTGGAGAATATAATATTACACAAATAAATCTTGATAAGATCTATAAGCTGAGAACTTGCATAGTAGAAATTCTAAGTTAGATGAAGTAGTACAGATTTCAACAGTCATACTAGTTAATATTTGATCTGGAAAAAAAAATTTGCATATGAAAAGATCAGCAACTAGGATGCAAGTAAGTCTGTTAGAAAATCTGTATACAAAATATCAGCAAAATAGGTGTATATAAGTTCATTATATAAGGTTATATAGCAACACCAACTTGGCTTAGCAGCTAACTAGATTTAGAAAGATCTGTTTCATATGATATTTGGAGATACAGATGACTTTTAGTAATACCAATCTGAGTAGTAACCAGATTTGGGAGAGCCTATCTTATATAATATCTAGAGGTACAGATAACTAACCTGGTGGAAAGCCATAGTAGGAACTAGGCTTGTACAAATATTGAACAAAGGTATATATAAGCTAGATTGGAATATAGTATAGTATAGTTGGGTACTACAACACCTATAAATTAAGAAGTTGGTAAAAGGGTATCTGAGATAGGCCTAGGCTTTAAATCTTAAAGTTTGTGGATACATATCAGCTCTGTTGATATTTTTTATAAAAAAAGTAGTACAGAATTAGGCAAATTTAAGTAATAAATGATAGTGAAATAGAAATAGCATATAGCCAGAGAGTTTAAATAGAGAATTTTCAAATAAATTTTAGATATAGCAACTAGTGTAGAACTTTCAGGCAGACTACTTAAATTAGATAATCTAAAGTTGTACATATAGCTAGTTGTACTCTTACATATGTAATCATTGCTTAAAACTATCTATACTAATAAAAATCTTGTCAATAGCATATTGTATAAAGTAAAAAAAAAAAATTATTTCTATCTGCAAAATTAAATAAGTATTATATAATATTAATATTTATAAATTTAAATAGAATAAGCTTTTTTAAAGACTTTTTCAAAATAAATTTGCTAGTAGATTTATAGATATAAATTTTGCATTATAATACATATATACTAACTTAGAAATGAATAAAAAATATATTTTGTGATAGAATAAATTTAGAAACTTTTATAATATATATTTTATTTTATTTTCAAGTTAGTATATGTATATAAATTAATATAATATATTATAATACAAAATTCATATCTACAAATCTACTAGTAAATTCACTTTTGAAAAAACCTCTAAGTAAATTTACTAGTAAATTTGTAGGTATGAATTTTGTATTATAATATATTATATTAACCTATGCATATACACTAACTTAAAAGTAAAATAAAATATATTTTATTTTATTTTTAAGTTAGTATATGTATTGTTATCAAATGAGTTTTAGTAATTTTATCTTTATTTTATTTTATTTTTTTTTAGTTATTAAGGCTCTTTTTGATTCAACTAGTACATAAGTTAAGAGCAATTTAGGCTTTTTATACCCAAGTCACTAAGCTTTTCTTCTAGGTTTTGAACTAAGAAGGCTATATATTCTAGAGACATGTTGTTATTTCTATTTCTCTGATTGCTTTGCATATTCAGTTTTTCTCTTTTGTTATCTTTATATCCCTTTTGAGAGCTATTTTCTTTTCCTATTCTATATCTTTCTCTATTACTATCTCTAGATGCTGCTATTAAGTTACTATATGTGTTATAGCTATCTCTATATGATCTAATTGCTATACTACTTTCTGTCTCTAGCTGGTGATTATTTTCTCTCCATACTCTGTCTCGTACAAATTTTGAACATTCACCTTCTTGTTCCTGTTCAGTTTCTTTTCTTTTTCCTAAGCTTTTTGCACTCCTTTTTTGTTGTATTTCAGTTTCTTTGTATTCTTTAAATCTTATATTTCTGCTTGCGTCATCTTCTTGTCCTTTTGTCTTTGCCTATCTTAGTTTATTATTGTAGTAATACATTGAGAAACTAGAGCTATTATATATATCTTCTTGTTTGTTAAAATATACTGTTGCATTTTCCATGTTGTTGTTGTTCGAATTTTTAAAGATATGTAATACCCTAGCACCTGATTTTTTAACTTGTCTCCATAGTAGTACCTTGTTTGTATTTTCGAGTAAGTCGAGTAGTCTTTTGCTAAATCTGTTTCTTAAATGAAGTAATTCATAATTGTTAGTACCTGCTGTTATTCTTATTAGTATTTGGTTTATAAAAGTTAAATACCAAATCTCGTTTAATTTCTTTTTTTCGACTGTACCTTTTTCAAAGTTAATTTCTGCTCTTGTTTTATCATACACACTCTTAATCATCTCTATATGCTCTACTCTTCTCAAGAATCGAACTGTCTCAAAGACTTGTGTTCTTTTTGCTCAACTTAGTAGATCCTAAACTGTTATCTTGTTTTCATCTTCAATTGTATTTTTCTTCTTTCTTCTTATTAAAACCTCGTCTAATTCTGCCTTTACCTGTTTGTTTCTTTTTTCTTTCATTTCTTGGTTTGATGTATCTGCTTCATTATTTGCTGAAATATGAGTAATCTTGTCTTCTTCAACAAAGATTTTGACTGCTGCTACTTTGGCATTTATATTTTTCTTTCCTTCATATCTATTCTTACTTGGTGCCCAAATACTTCTCTCTAAAGAGGCGTCAGATTCTGCAGAAGTAAAGTCTTCTTCTAATTCTTCTGTAAAGTCAGAATATTGGTTCGAATTTGTTAGGATTGTTGCTGTTTCTTGAATTTCTTTGATGTTTTCCATTTGAATATGGTTTTTTTCTAATATTTCTGTTACTAA